TTTAAGAACTTGCAAAGGGAACCGGAAAAAACCCATATTTGGGAGACAAAAAGGGTAAAAAGGTATAAATACAGGAAACTTCCTGTGTCACTTCACCCAGAATTTGAGAGACATTATCCTCTGGGCCCACGTGTAATAATAATAATAAATGTAACTCCATCTCTCTAAGCGTTGCTTGGTTCTTCTCTGGTTTTCTGTAACGTTATCATTGCCCGTGATAGGGTAGGACATGGTGCTGAAGTTGCGTCCTTTGAACCTTCCAGAAACAGAATAAAATATCCTCTAAAAGAAAATATATAAGGAAGAGCCAAGTAATTTTTTTATACAAGTGTGTGATTTGTCCTGTGTATTCGCATAGGCACAATATTCAGCGTGTAAGGACAGGATCGACAATTATTGATTAGATATTTACTTTTTGCTCTGGAAGCATAAATAATGAAATCTTGCAGCTTTCCAAGGCCAGCTTCATCTATAAGTCCTGCCTTACAGCTGAAGGAATTGAGATTTAGAAAATGAGCAAGCAGGCATGGATGAAGCTATTTATCTGATTCCAAATATTTATTCAATATTGATAAGAGCATATAACAATAATAGTAACAGCTACCATTTATTAAGTACTAATTTATTTCTAGGCACTGTACTAGTGTACTATACACATGCCCACTTTGTTACAACCTGAAAGATATAGTCTGTGGTCTTCATTTTCTTCAGTGAGAATCAGGGGATGAGGAGTTCAGTAAACACTGTCCGAGGATACATGGGTCATTGGACTACAGAACCTCAGTTGTGGTACATGGTCTCTCACATCGTTTTGCAGTCATATCATGACACCTTTACTGTGTAGGTGGCACTAATATGTCAAGAATCGTACATTTCACACCCCAATTACCTTTGCACATAGAAATATTTCACCTGTAGAAAAACCTTTCTAACTCAGGTTTGTTCTCTCACAGTGTATATCGTAGGCATTTACTCATTTAGTAAGCACCGGCATCAACATAAAGATAACCAAACTCGTGTACTACCCACCATCTGGGAAGGGCTGTGAGGGAAGATGCGCAGGGAGGACGTTCCAGGCAGAGGAAACACTCAGATATGCATGTTGTGTCTGGGGCACTGACAGAGGTTACACAGAGAGGAAGCACCACAGGATGGGAAGAAGTCTGCCATTTGTTAACCTCGTAATTTGGGGCAATTTACTTAACCTTCCTCATGGTTCTGCTTCTTCATCGTTTAAAAAAGTTATTTTCCTGCCGAAACCGGTTTGGCTCAGTGGATAGAGCGTCGGCCTGCGGACTGAAAGGTCCCAGGTTCGATTCAGGTCAAGGGCATGTACCTAGGTTGCGGTGACATCCCCAGTAGGAGATGTGCAGGAGGCAGCTGATCGATGTTTCTAACTCTCTATCTCTCTCCCTTCCTCTCTGTAAAAAAAAATCAATAAAATATATATTTTTTAAAAAGTTATTTTCCCATCACAGTTTCCATTCGACATTATTCTGTATTCATTTCAGATGTACAGCAAAGCGGTTAGACCACCATGTACTTAATTGTGAGACTATTTGTTCTATTATCTCATAGTTCATAAGAAACCCACGAGGTAATGCTTGTGCAAGCAATTTGAGAACCATCGAGTTGCGTATTAATAAATAATACATATCATCGTGTATTACATTTTAATAGTAATAACCTTATAATTGGGAACAGAAAGAGCTCCCCTTTCTCTCACTTAATTTTTTGTCCATTGTTTTTTGTTTTTTTCCTGGCTATCCACACCCTTCGTCTTTCTTCCTCTGACTTGCAGAGGGTGACAGAAAGCGCTGGTCCTTGATGGAGATGCTGGAGTGACCTTCGCCATTTCATCCCAGGAAACCCCCTTCTCACAGTTAACATGACAGTGAGAAGGGGAATAAGGAGGTGGTGCTCAATATCCATGGAATTTTACAAATACTTTTTAAAAAAAGATAAAATTTCAAAGTTTAATTTCAGAATATGCATTTAACTTTACTTAAATGTGCTACATTTTTACTTGACTCAATATTTTCATGTTCAATGAATAGCTAATAGGATGATCAATGCATGCTTTTTATAAAATGATATTCCCTAGATAAATACTGTGAAAAGCAATATAAATTCCTGCCTTAAAACAGTGTAAAAGTCCACATTTTATCCAGAAAAAAAACAAAAAACACACACACACAACAACCCATAAACAAATTTAATTTCAATACATAGATTTTAGGGAACTAGAGAACAATATTGAATTGCACAAAAGAAATCTGGTCACAATAAGTAGTTACAAGTCCACTGATATACTTACTGGCCTTTTTTCAAATGCCTTTTAATCCAGGACCCCTCACACTATCAGAGGAAGCGGACTGTATGGGACTGAAGGCCCTGAACCGGGGGCAGTGTGCAGAGATCTGAAATGTACTAAATGAGCCCCACGAACTGGCCAGTGCCTGCCCCCACCCCGCTGTGTCTTCCTGTGGAGGGAGACTCCTGGTTCTGGAGAGAGAATGTCACGTGGCCTGGTGCACCCAACCTCAGCAGACAGTATCCCGAGGCTCCTGTGGAAGCAGCATGAAGCTGCTGTTTTATAAAAGTGAGAAGCACTATTGACATTTCTAAGCTCAGAACTATGTTTTTAACAAGCCTGAAAATACTGGAAAATAGCGAGTTCAGTATTCTCTAGAGGATGCAGTGCAGTTAGAATATATACCCACCACCACTCCCTACCCCCACCCCAGTGTGTATCTGGATAAAATATGTGCAATGAAATTTCAGGGCAAAATCTGATGCCGGAATAATCTAAAACATGGCAGATTTATACCGGGAGTGATTTTTATTTATTTTTCAAATGTGGATTCCCTGAAGAACTCAAATGTTCTACATGTTACTTACAGCTTCTCCTTGAAAAGACTTACCTCTAAGGTCTGAGCAGCATAAAACTTCAGGCTGCGCAGTCCTCAGAATTGAGCATGGGCCATAATTCTCCTTCGCCACTGACTCGGGGTGGTTTGGAATTAACTAGGACTCGACCTGTATGGTAATTAATAATTTATAATTAAACTGGCAGTTTGAGTATATCAGCATAACTGTAAGTGTGGCGCCTCTTGTCTCTGTTGTCTTTCCTTTTATTTTCTGAAAGAAAATTGAGAAGAAAGGTTAGAAGCTTTGCGGCCCCCAACCCCTACCCCCACCCACTCCAGTTTTTGGATTTGTCCAATGTGTTCTTTGGATCTTTCTTTCAAAGAAGAATCAAGCATGTACCTCGTCAGCCTTGTGCCAGAGTCTGAGGACACAGGGATGTGTGAAATCCCATCCTCACCCTCAAGCACCTTCCTCTCTAGGTAAAGGGGCATGCGTACAGCAATCAGCTGGGATACAACAGGCCCAGCCCCACCTGCGGGGAGCTTGCCACAAAATGTAGCAAAGAGAGATGGGGGGTTCTCTTTTCAGGGTCTAAGGGGAGGTGACCTTTGAGGACCCTTGAAAGTTGAGTCATATGTGTTCAGGTAGAAAATGAAAAAAAGACAAGGACAAGCAAAGCTATGGAAGTCCTTGTGCTTTGTCATGTTCCAAGGAAGGTGGGTCCACTATCTGCCGGGTGCTGCTAGTGAGGTCTGCACCTGGAGACGAGGTTTGTCGGTAGGTTGAGGGACTAGATTTCAGGGGCGTAGGTAGGTCATGCAAAAGAGGTGTTGTGTGAAGCCTGGTGGGCAGTGGTGAGCTAGAGTAGGTAGGGGAGCAGTTTGATTAGATGATTGTCTCAAAAGGTTCCTCTGGGCACAGGCAGGGGAGAGGTTGGAGGGATCCAAAGTTGGAAAGAGAACAGGTGGGAGGTTTCATGTGGAAGGCTATCATTCATGTGAAATATGGTGAGAAATTCAACCAGGACAAGGGCGATGAGAAGTAGGAGTTGAGGGGAATCAGGGTATTTTCCAATGTTGACTTTTGAGTTGAATTGAGAGGATCAGGCCTGCAGGTGGGACAGGGTAGACAGCAAAGCCAGGGATCTTGTTAGCCTTTGCAATGCTAAAGATAAAGGGACATGGACCCAGCCCATGAGAGTTCAAGAGTTTATTGAGAAAGACGTAATTATTGCTGTCTCCATCTTTGTCTTCCTTGTCGTCTGGTAGTTAACATTTATTGAGTGGTCCTTTCCTATCAAGCACTCTACGAAGCCATTGTTTTGTCTGAACCTCACAACACAGTTAGTTTAGCTACTACTATCATCTGTACTTCGCAGCTGAGGAAACCAAGAGAGGAAGGCAGGCTACCTTGCCCAAGATTATTCAACAGGTGAGGAGTTGAACTCTAGAGCCCCACCCCTAACCACTGGGGTATTATGCTTACGTTTTGTAACACAATATTATAGTCGCCGTAGTAGCAGGTGCAATGCATTCCTGACTCTGGTTGTGCAAGCCAGAGGCAGTTTTTCTGTGTTTTAAAAGATGTGTTTTAAGGAATGAGAAGGAATGTTCAGGTAAAGAAATGTGGAAGAAAAGAATTGCAGGATGGAATAATTGGTGCAAGGCCAAAGAAAATGAAAATGGCTAGAATGCTCAAGGAAGGGTAACTAACTCAGTGTGGTTGGCTTTACTGAAAAATAAAAAGGGCTTAAGTGGGGGCAACTCATGCCTATTTGCTTAAGTCAGCACTTCCACTAAAATAAATGAGCATGTGGACAGACAGGAACTCAGAAAACATTGTAAGTAGTTTCCTTTTGGTTTGACCTTTCAATCAACAAGCATTAATGTCCTTGTCTTCAGTTCCTGTGCTTCTTCCCCACCCACACACCTGCCTCCTGCTGCAAGACATAAGTGCACTGTAAATGTTGTGTTGGTGGCCATATCCTTGGCCAATCAAGAAATCTGAATATTATTATTGAGACGCTACTCGTTAAAAAGCATGCTATATGAATATTTATAGGCTAGCACCTTTTTTTGAGTGTAAAGACTCATTCTCATGTATTTATTCTCTTCTCTGTTTCTTCATAGTCCCTCCACAAATCATGAACATCTCCTCAGATATCACTGTGAACGAGGGAAGCAGCGTGACCCTGCTGTGTCTTGCTATTGGCAGACCAGAGCCAACTGTGACGTGGAGACACCTGTCTGTCAAGGGTAAGGCATGTACCTATAGAACCTTCTTAGAGTCGGTATTTTGTAGACTTGATTCCATTGTACATCAGAACTTCCGGAATCAGAAAACAATGCTGTTTGATACCAGAGTAATGTCAGAGCAAAGGCCACACCCGTCAGTCACTGAATATCCTATTCCTAAAGGAAGATTTATAAATAATCTTTACTGAATTATTATTTCAGTCCTTTTTATGACTTTATCTGATTTTTGTGTTCCTGACTATGAAGAAGAGAGGTGCCGTAAGAATAACTTCCAACAAAGAAACTGATTTCTCAAGGTCAAGATTGTGTAGGTTAGTTGATGGGTTGTCCTTCTTGAGTAGAGTGGAGAACATGGCAGTGTCCACTGAAACCACTGACGTCATTGTGTATCGAGGAGAAAAAGGGTCTCCATGCTCAATACTTTTGGGACATCTACCTAGAGCCCCATGTGTTTGACCTGTTCATATATAGCGCTCTCTAGTAGAGGAAAAATGAAAGAAATGGTGAGGTGTGTAGGGGGTGGAGGAGGGGTCATGCCTGTGCCAGATGATTAGTAGTGAAATAATTAGTAATGAAACATCGGCTATGAGCATCTTCAACTTACTAGGAAGGGAACCAAAAAAGACAAGAGGTTTCATGCCCTTGGAACTAAACTTACTCCAAGTTGAACTTGAAGAGATAAACACAGAGCCACTTGATATATTTACATTGTTAGTAGAAACAATGATTAATTCTAGAAATTATACAAGAAACAAGTGGCTCCCTCAGGCAACAGAAAATCTAAACATGCAACCCAGGGAAGAGGAAAAGGTGGAGGATACGTGTGTATATGATGTAAAAAGAATGGAGATCTAGAGAAAACAGAAATAAATCTTAGTAACCTTGCACTAAAAACTTGATAAATTGGGCTTTATATTACTTGAATACAGCTGTCGTAACAAAATACCATAAACTGGATGGCTTAAACAATAGAAATGCATTTTCTCATAGCTCTGGCGGCTAGAAGGCCATGAGGAAGGTGCAGTCAGGTTGGTTCCTTCTGAGAGCTCTGAGGTGTCTGTGTCTGCTCCATGCCCCTCCTGGGCTTCTGGTAGTTTGCTGGACATCTTTGGTGTTTCTGGATGTGAAGGTGCATTGCCTGATCTCGGTCTTGTCTTAACATGACCTTCCTCCCTGTGTGCATCTCTCAGCCAATTTCTTTTTTTTTTATAAGGACACCAAACATGATGTATTAGGGCCCTCACTAATGACCTTATCTTCAGTTGATTACCTCGGTAAAGATCCTATCCTATATAATAGAAGGCTAATATGCAAATAGTCCCCTCAGGAGTTCGACCAGGAGACTGGGAGTTCAATCGCTGGCTATGACATGTGGTGACCATCAGGGGGCAGTGCAGAACATGGCAGGTGACCAGTGGGGGCAGCGGGACACTGAGGGAGTGAGGGAAGGGGGTGCAGGGAGGCCAAGAGGTGGGGAACCTGATCGCCAGCCAGGCCTAGGAATACTACCCGTGTATGAATTTCATGCACCGGGCCTCTAGTTTCCAAATAATGTCACATTCTGAGACACAGGGAGTTACGACTTTAAGGTGTGAAGGTGCATTGCCTGATCTCGGTCTTGTCTTAACATGACCTTCCTCCCTGTGTGCATCTCTCAGCCAATTTCTTTTTTTTTTATAAGGACACCAAACATGATGGATTAGGGCCCTCACTAATGACCTTATCTTCAGTTGATTACCTCTGTAAAGATCCTATCCTATATAATAAAAGGCTAATATGCAAATTGTCCCCTCAGGAGTTTGACCGGAAGACTGGGAGTTCAATCGCTTGCTATGGCATGTGATGACCACTAGGGGGAGGCTCAGAACATGGCGGGTGACCAGTGGGGCAGCAGGACACTGAGGGAGCGAGGGAAGGGAGAGGCGGGGAGGCCAGGAGGTGGGGAACGTGATCACCAGCCAGGCCTAGGAATACTACCCGTGTATGAATTTCATGCACCGGGCCTCTAGTTTCCAAATAATGTCACATTCTGAGACACAGGGAGTTACGACTTTAAGGTCCTAATCTTTTGAGGGGGATGCATTTCAACCAATAACAGGCTTAATCAAAATTAAAAACACCATTAAGATATTCATAAGCCATGGACACAGAAAATAGTGTGGTGAAGGCCTGTGGAGGGGGTGGGGGCAGGGTGGCATG